CTGGCCTTCCTGGGACTCCGGGTCCTTCCTGGGCTTCTGCGACCTGTCCCAGGACCGGGCTCTTCTCTGTGAGAGAGGCTTCCTCGGGCCCCGCGGCAGCTCCATGGTGCTGCAACCAAGACCAACAGCTCCTAGGAGAGGCCGCCTGCCGCCCAGGGCCACCCCCCACCCCCAGGGCCACCCCCACCCGCTAACGCCAGCGACCTCAGCTCTCAAAGCTGTCGTCCCACTTTCATTCCTCAACAACCCTGGGAGGAAACGGTGTCCTGTCCCCACTTTCCAGAGGAGGAAGCTGAGGCCCAGGAGGTCGTGCCCCAGATCTCACCGTGCCCCGCCCCCCACAGCCCCCCGGCAGCTCAGTGCTCTCATCTGAACTGGGCCAACACCTGCCTATCCACCCCAGAGGCTGTTAAGAATATTTCACCGGACAGCTCAGTAAATGGCAGCTGCGTTCTTCCAGCTGCTCAGGACAAACATGTGAAGTCGCCCCGTCTCCAGGTCTCGCTCAGTCCCCACATCCGCCCACCAGCACAGCCTGCTGCTGCTCTTTCAACCATGGCCGGGCCTCAACCCACCGAGTCTCCTCGCCGCCTCCTCTGCTCAGCTGGACCATTCCTTGCCGCTCGCCTGCTCCCCTCTGTCCTCTCCGCCCCACGCAGCCTGGCTGCTCAGGAGGACGTGCTTCCAGCCATTCCCCCCGAGACACAGCACCCCTCACTGCGTGGAAACCCAGCCGCTCCTGTAAACGTGTTTATCACCTTGGCGGAGAGTGGTTTCAGAGCAAAGTCCAGCCTGCTCGGAAACACCCAAGTGATCTGCTGGTCACGGGACCTCGGCTCAGAGGTGACACATACCAACACACCAGGGAGGGCACAGCTGACACGAGTGACTGCGGAGCCGGAGTGGAGTCTGCGAGTCCCCCAACCTACTGCTGCCTCTGGTGGATTACCTGAGTGTACAATGACCTCCTCCATATGCCACCCCTCACCTACTCACCCGCTGGGGACTGTCACTGCTCGGGCGCCGGGCACTGTTTCACAGGCCCCTTTTGCCCTGCCCTCTCCACCCTGGACGCCACACAATAGAATTTAACCAATAGCCGCCACAGTGCGTGTGGCACACGCGTGTGGGCCGGAGCCAGCACTCACAGACGCTCACTGCTGTAGACTGAACATCTGTGCCCCCAAATTCACTGTTGATCCGAAGGCCCCAGGTGATGGTATTAGGAGGCGGGGCCTCTGGGCGGTGATTAGGCCACGAGAGCACAGCCCTCATGAACCAGGTTAGTGTCCCTTATAAAGGACACCCGGGGGCTCCCTTGCCGCTCCCGTCACGTGGGGGCACAGAGGGCAGGTGACTGACTGTCTATGAACCAGGAATCCTTCGCCAAACACCGAACCTGCCGGCACCTCGACCTCAATCTTCCCGCCTCCAGAACCGTGAGAAAGAAGTTCCTGTGCTCTGTGCTACAGCAGCCCAAACAGGCTCAGACACTCGTGTGTCACAGAAACACGCACACACACCACAAACCTACAGGGACTCGGAGCACCTTGCATTTTCCCCAACCCAAGTGCAAGGAGTAATTATCTGAGCATCTGTGTGCCGTCTGCCCTCCTAAACTCCAAGTCCCAGAGAGGACGGAGCTGCGTGGTTCCCGCAGCGCCCACAGTGCCTGGAGGCCCTTGGGGTTTGGGGAATGAATGAATGATCCTCAGACAGGCACAGGCATGGCCAGCGCCCTGGGTGTGGCCTCAGGCTGGGCGTCCAGAAAGCCTCTCATCTACACATCTCAGTCCCCCCGGCCATGCCTGTCAATCAGACCGGCTGCGAGGGGAACGGAGCTCTGAAGGGCTAAGAGACTTGCCCAAGCCCCCTCTCTCTCCCCCCAGCTGGGAATCAGAGAGAATGGGGGCTTGGATCCATTTTTCTGGATTCTAACTTCTTCTCTCTCCTACGCCAAGGGGCCCCCAGCAGCAGATGCGCCCACACGGCCTGAGGTGAGCAGCGGTGCTGTTTCACACTGAGGGAGATAATGACATCTGCCCACACCCACCGTGACCCACACACACTTATGTGCCAGAGGCAGAGATGGTCAACTCCGGGCAGGGCGCACAGGCTCTGGGCAGGAAGCCGGTCAGTGGGCTAGAGGGTCAAGGGCTGCACCCTGAACTTTACTTCTTAGCACAGGCAGCCCATGGGCCCTCCAAGCCCCTCGATGAAAGCCACTCTCGTCCGAGCTCAAAGCCTTCAACCTGGGCTCCCTCAATAGTGCTGGTCCATCACAGGTCACACCTCCCACATGCAGGGGGAGGAGGGGGGCCTTCTGGGGAGACACTCAACCTCCCCTGGCCTGAGTCTCGTGGGGGACAAGGTGGTCTCCTCTCCCCTCAGGACCCATCCTGCTCCCAGGCCCAGCTCCCAGGTGTTAGATGATCCCCCTCCAATCCCAGTCAGGGCAGCAGAAGATGTCCCTGTTCTTGGACCAACTTCCAAAAACCTTAACATCTAACCCTTAGTCCAACCACAGGTAACAGCATCACCTCCCACTGATGGGGAGCTTCCCTTTACTCCGCGTCTCCACGTAAAGTCAGTGGAGTATGGAGCACCGCCTATTTTGCAAATGAGGAACTGAGGCCCAAGAAAGTGAAGTTCCTTGACTGGGTTCAGAGCTTATAGGGCCAAGTTAGTTCAGAGCTCTTCGCAGGCACTGGATTGAGATCGCATCACCGAGCCCTGGTCTCTCTCAGAGATGAAGAAACTGGGGCCCAGGGAGGCCCAGCAAGTAGAGGCAATATTGGACCTGGCCTCAGGGTCTGCCTTTTGGGCTTATACTCCTTTCAGAACCCCAAGAAACCCACCCACCGCTCCAGCCCCTAAGGAGAGAGTATCGTTCAACCAACCTTGGGCCACGAAGTCACTCCTGTCCCTCGGACCAGAGGGCTCTGGATGGGACCGCTGAGAAGCACCGCCTGCCAGAAGTTGTATCCAATGAGGGATGGTAGGCCCAGCTTCCCGGGGGGAGGATGCTGCTGCTGCTGCCACCCCCAAACTCCCGAGTGTCTCAGAGATGCTCGGTCACAGTCATATATAGCTGAGCTCACGGCCAGGGGCCGCCCACTTCGCCACCCTGTCCCGTCCCATCCCAGGCTGCTTCCCGCTCAGTAGAGATAGGAGGCTTACCTCAGCCACCCTGGAAAACAGTTTCGCCTGACAACTTCCTCATTACACTCAAACCCAACCAGAAACCAGCGCTCAGAACACAGCCCTGCCTGGCCAGAGGCCAATCCTCGGAGTGAAAAACAAGCGCTTATAGGAAGCACAGGTCACGGGGAAGCAGGAGGCCGCGGTTCTATCACCGCCACACCCCCCTCGGAGGCACCCCAAAGAAAGAAGGATCTGAGAGAAAGCCCGCTGGATGGAACACATACATTCTTTGACCTGGAGACGGAACTCAGAAGAAGGAGTTGATAAGGGGCAGGTTTCCCAAATCCACTCTCCTAAAAATCAATGGAAAACATATCCTCTGGTGAGGATTAACCAAACCCTGCCTCCTCTTGTTTATATGATAAAAATACAGATCGATGTATTATATTCGAAAGAAAAGAAGAATATGTACCAAGAGCCAGGCTCTTCCTAAGTCCCGTCATGGCTCTTGGGCTGATACATCCTGAGTGTGGTGGCCATTGGGCGCCTTCTCTCCCCGGGCAGAGGGGCCGCCTGGCCCTGTACTCCGTGCCCGTCAAAGACCAAGCCTGGGTTCCCAACCAGGTCGGTGGGAAAGGCCACAGAAGGGCGACAGGAAGATTGAAAAAAACATCTTTTTAAAAATTTAACTTAAGCATGACATACAAAAGTGCACAAGTCGTAAGCACACAGCCTGGAGGATTCCCACAAAGGGAATACATAAACCCGCGTCCCTGGTGGTCAGTGTGCTCCCATAGCGGGAGTGCCACTCAGCCAGAAGCCCTGAGCCTCTCCCACCTCCACAGCAGTGCTAAGGATGTCCGAAAGGCGGCAGCGCGAAACCAGCCGCAGGCCCTGCTGAGCGCGCCTTGCGGCTTGTACAGGTCCCCGGGCCGCCGGGGCGCGGGCGGATGGTTCCCAACCAGGTCGGTGGGAAAGGCCACAGAAGGGCGACAGGAAGATTGAAAGAACACCTTTTTTAAAATGTTAACTTAAGCACACAGCCTGGTGGATTCCCACAAAGGGAATACATAAACCCGCGTCCCTGGCGCCCGTGCACCCAGACCCAGCGCTCCTCGCGGCCCCGCTCTCCTGGCTTCTGAACGTGGGCCCCAGCCCCTCAGGTGAGACCTAAGTGTGGGCCCGTGCACCCAGACCCAGCGCTCCTCGCGGCTCCGCTCTCCTGGCTTCTGAATGCGGGGATTATTGTTCCCGTTTCGGGTTGTATACACATGGGAATCGGACTGTTTTCTTCTATGTAACCCCCCCCCCCCACTATATTTCATGTTTATGAGATCCGACATGCCGCTGTCGTTGTAATTCTCAGATGACAATACCAACTGTAGGAGGGGATGTGGGGCGGCAGAACGCCCCCCGCTAGTGGGCGTGCAGGGGGCGCAGACACGCTGGAAGATGGAGTGGCAACATCTGCTGAGGCTGAGCAGACACCCACCCACCAGCCAGCGTTTCACTCCTGGATACACACACAGGCAGAAACGCATGCGCACGCCCCCAAAACAACGTTTATGGGAGCAGTCGATCAGCACTGTTTATAATAGCCCCAAACCCAGACACTTGAAACTACTCAAATGGCCAGTAATGACACATTGAGCAAACGGTGGTATGTTCACAAAATGGAGAAGTTTTTTCCCTCAGAGTATGTATGTTTGTTTAGAAAGACTGTTCACCCTCTTGGGTGCCCTGGGTGTGCCACATGGGGACACAGAGGAT